ATTTTTCAGTACAATGCTATTTTTCCTTTCCTTCTGGGACTCTGATAACTCAAATGTTAGATCTTTTTTTGGCCCTTAGGTTCCTGAGCTTTTGTTCATTTTTTGTTTCAATAATTTTTCTGTCTGTTGTTCAGATTGGATAATTTCTACTGAAATTATCAAATTCACTAATTCATCTTTCATCTTCATCCTGCCACTGATTTTTGGTAGAGAGTTCTAAATTTCATTAAAATTTTAATATGCAATTAATTTATTATTTTTCAGTTCCAAACATTTCCATTTGGTTTTTATTTATATCTCCTATTTACATTATTCATATTTACAATTATCATTTCTGTCTTAGGATTTTTCATGATTGCTTACACAGGTATTTTTGTAATAGCTGCTTAAAGTCATTTTCAGATAATTTCAACATTTGTGTCATCTCACTGTTGGTATTTGCTGTTACTCTCAAGGGAATTGAGATTTGCATGGTTCTTCATAAGCAGGATAATTGTGAATTAGATCCTGGGTATTTTGACTATTATGTTATAAGCCCCTGGGTCTTGTGTAAATCCTATGGAGAAGGTTGATATTTTTAATTTAGTAGGAACATGAGTTGGTTAGGTTGAGGCTCCAGGTTCCAATCTACCTTCTTTGGGTGGTGGTTCTAAAGTAATTTCAAATTGGAGTCTTTGCAGTTCTTTATTTTTATTTAATTCTAGCAGTCCTAATAACAGTTCAGTAAAGCAGGTATTATGATACTCATTTTACAAATAAAAGAGAGATTTGAATTCAGACTATGTCACTAGCTTTCTGACTGGATAAGACAGTCTTTGATCCTTTATTTCCTAATCTGTAAAATGGAATCGAAAATACATAGCTGACTAGATGGTTTGAGGACTAAGTAAAACAACACATGTAGCATACCTAGGACATTGTAAGACTCTAAAAAAATCATGGCTAGTTCTGATGGTTAATACTGAGTGTCAACTTGATTGGACTGAAGAGTGTAAAGTATTGATCGTGGGTGTGTCTGTGAGAGTGTTGCCAAATGAGATTAACATTTGAGTCAATGGACTGAGAAAGGCAGACCCACCCTTAATCTGGGTGGGTACCATCTAATCAGCTGCCAGCATGGCCAGGATATAAAGCAGGTAGAAAAACATGAAAAGTCTAGATTGGCTTAGCCTCCCAGCCTACATCTTTCTCCCACATTGGATGCTCCCTGCCATTGAACATTGAACTCCAAGATCTTCAACTTTGGGACTTGGACTGGCTTCCTTTCTCCTCAGCTTGCAGACAGCCTATTGTGGGACCTTGTGATCATGTGAGCTAATACTACCTAATACATTCCCATATAGATATAAGTTCTGTCTCTGTAGATAACCATAATATACTAGTCTTCTCATTTAAAAAAATCAACTTTATTGAGGAAAAATTACTATCGATGCACACATTTCAAGTTACAGAAGATGACTTTTGACATTCACATACACTGTGTAACCATCACCCCCATCAGTAAGATATTACAGGACATTTTCATTACCCCAAACAGTCTCATCATGCTCCTTTGAGTCAGCCCTCCTCTCAGCTTCTACCCTAGGCAATCACTGATCCGATTTCTGTCACAATTGATAAGTAAAGCACTAGAACTTTACATTAAGAAAACGATAAAGTCTGGATATTTTCACTCAACATAAATATTTTAGATTCATCCATTAACAACGGTTTATTATTCATGTGTATCTCAGAAACGTATTCCTGTATAATGGCTGGCTGGTATTTCAGTATTTTTGGAATGTTTTTCTATTGTTGATTGACATAGCTCTTAGATACGCCGAATTCAAGTCATTTATTAATGTACTGTGACTATTTTTTCAAGCCTGTGAATTATCTTTCATTTTCACATGATGTCTTTCAGAGGGCAGAAAACCTCACTTTTCATAAAGTTCAATAATTAAAAATTATTTTAAAAATTAGTTTCTAATTTTTATGTGTGCGACTTTCCCTGTGACCCACAGTTTATTTAGAAGTACATAGTCTGATTTCCAACTATTTGAGGATTTACAAATATCATTCTGTTAATGATTTCTAGTTTAATTCCTTTGTGGGTAGAGACAATAATTTTTATGATTTCGATTATTTAAAATTTGCTGAGATTTGTCTTAGGATACACAGTGGAGTCTATTTTGATAAATGTTCCAAGTGCATTGGAAAAGAAAGTGTGTTCTTCAGTTATTGGGTGGAATGTTCTACAAATGTCCATTAGGGCAAGTTGGTTGATAGCACTGTTCAGGTCTTCTATATCAATAGTTAGGAAAATTGCTAGCCTTTTTCAAAATCACCTTTGTAGCTTTCAAAAATACTAATGCTTATATCTCACTCTGTGAGATTGTGATTTATTCTGAGGTGTGGTCTGTTCACTGGAATAATTAAAAGATTCCAGGTGATTCTAATACACTGAAAAGTTTGGGACATGAGTTCTGTACACTTACATTTTTCTGTATACTTGTTTTACAAATTGCAGAGCAGGAAGTAATGAACTGTTTGAGTTCAATAAATTTTTGATTCACTGCTATTTTGTGGCTCTGTGGTAAGGATTTTGCATCTTCTTGATGAATATGCCCCTTTATCTCATTATTTTAATGTTACTTTCCCTAATTATCAGTGAAGGTAAACATTTTTAAAAAAGGCTTTCTGGCCATTCAGTTTTCTTCTTCTGTAAGTGGACTACTTATGTTATTTGCATATATTTATCTTGAGTTGTCTTTTTCTTACTGATTTGTCTGAATTCTTCATATTTTCAGAGTTTAACTATATTCTGCCAACCCGTGGCTTTTTAACTTGATTAGAGATGGCGTCTCTCCTGTTTATAAAACTTTTGCAGTTTAAAATAATCAATATTTTACATCTTTCCTTAATGAATCATGCAATTTCTTCCTAATGGTGATATCATAAAGACATGTGCTTTTCTTCTAAAAGATTAGAGTTTCGTTTTTCACATTTTGGGTCATTATTTCATTTGGAATTTAGTTTTGTTTCTGTTGTGGTATCAGAATCCAATTTCATATTTTTATATAAATAGCCAATTTAACTAAAACCACCATACTTTGTGTTTTCTATATCCCATGAACAGTTAGTGTACTAATTTGCACTTCCAACAGTAATGAATAATAGTTTTTTTCCACAGCCTTAGCACATTATTCCTCACTAGACACCTTTATTGTATACCAACTTCCAGGTGTCCTTTTTTCTAATTTCCTTTTTGTCTATTCTTGTGTCAATACCACTTTTTAAAAAGTTGCTTTAAAATAGAATTACCATATGATTCAACACAAATTAATACCCACTTCTGGGTATACATCCAAAAGAACTGAAAAGAGGGTCTCAAAGAGACATTTGCACACTCATGTCCATAGCAGTATTACTCACAATAGCCAAAATGTGGAAGCAACCTAAGTGTCCACTGATAGATGAATGATAAACAAAATGTGGTATAATACACATAATAAACAATATACAGAATACTATTCAACCTTAAACAGGAAGTTCTGCAACATGCTATAACATGGATGAACCCCGAGGACATTATGCTAAATGAAATAAGCCAGTCACAAAAGGGCAAATTCTGTATCATTCCACTTATGTGAAGCACCTAGAGTAGTCAAACTGATAAACAGAAAGTAAGATGATTACTGCCAGGAGTGAGGGGAGTAGGAAATGGAGGGTTGTTGTTTAATAGAGACAGAGTTTTAGTTTGGCAAGATGAAAAGAGAGATTGGTTCTGGAGACTGGTTGAACAACAGTGTGGAATGTATCTGATACTACTGATGTTAAAAATGGTTAAGATGGGAAATTTTATTCTATGTATATTTCACTACAATTAAAACTATTTAAAAATACTGTTCTAGCAAAAACAAAGTTTTTTAAAATAGTTTCTCTTGATCTTTGGTATCCTGCAATGTCACCATTGCATAGATTTCTTTGTATTAATTCTGCTCAAGAATAAGTACTTTTTGAACCTGAAAATTCAAATACTCCACAATCTTGGAAAATTCTTAATGATTATTCTTTGAATACTGACTGCGTCCATTCTCTCTAGTCTCTTTTTTTGGCATTTCTATTAGATTTATGTTGAATTTTTTTCATTTATTTAGCTCCTACATTGCATTCTAGTAAATTTCCTCAAATTGAATATTGTAGTCCCAGCCAAATGTAGTTCTCAAAACACTGAATGGAAGATCTTTTTATAGAGCTCTTAAAATGATTAAGGCAATGTGTCAGCAAACGGTGCCAGAAGTAAAAAGTCAAGAAACAGGGAGACATAAGGCTTGTCTCTACAGCTCAGGAGACTGTGCCAAAGCCAAAATAACAATGTATTGCTGTGATGCCTACCTTGTACTCAATGAATATTAAAGTAGGATGCCGCTTTGTGTCAAGTGCTAGATTACGATGAGTGGTGTCACAAAGATCACTCTACACTCAGAGTTTGGCACTTCATACCATATGTTTTACCTTGAGCAAGACATGTATCTACAATCAGGCTTCAGTTCCTTTCTGTGGGTTGCTGCTGGCTCCAACAGGTAAGGTGAGCAGACGTGCTATGCCTAAGTATCAATAGGGTATTTTCTCAATTCTAAAATATTAAATGGTCACGCACTACAGATTTAATAATAGTTTGGGAGGAGGGGAGTGAGGAAAGAAACATTCCACTAGCGCTACTTTATAAGCTTTCCGATTTTGGAAATAAGAAAAATATGAAAAAGTCTGCTCTTAGAATTGAGGAACCACGGTGTCGCACTGACTTTCTCTGTTCGGTTCGCAAACAATCTTTTCTTGAACTTGAATGACTTCTCGGTCGCTCATGCCAACCTGTTTCCTGACTTCTCCATTCTGAGATTCACACTTCAATTCTCAGGCTTCCTGTGAGACCTAAGGAGCCCCTTCACTAGGGCGGCTTCGCTTCGCTTCTGTACTGTCATTGGCTGTTGCTCTTCCAGGGCCCCTCCCACAGCCACCTCAATCCTGATTGGATGTCAGTGTCCTTTTGTTATGGCGAAGGTGGATCCCGGAGCTTTGAGATTGGACTACTGGGGGGGCGGTGGCGGCTAATGCGCAGGCGTATATTTTCGAGTCAGGATTGGCGGGTGAGGGGCCGGGATGAGGCGGGACTCTTCTCTCGGCGCACGTTCTGTGACCGGAGTGGGCGGAGCTGCCGGTGTCAGTTGGTCCAAGTGTCCCCGCCCGAGGTGTCGGCTGCATCCCTCTCTCTCCCGGCCCCTCCAGCAGAAGGTGAGGACTGTCCTGGGCAGCGGAGGGCCTGGCCCCAGGCGACTAGAACTGCGGCCTCGGTACCGCTGAGGGCCTGGAGGGCGGGGTGGGTAGGACGCGGCCCTGCGCACCTGGGGCCCACGAGGAGCGGTCTCGGGCCTGGGCATTTGGTGGGCGGCGGAGGCCTGGCTTCCTGCAGAACCCTTGCGCATCCTCTTTTTCTCCTGTTTTCGTGGTCAGGCCCAGGCGTTCTTTAGGAGAGGGGCCTCCCGCTGTCCCTGACGCAGACATTCTGCTGCTTTCTCCCCGCAGCTCCCGCGTCGGGAGCCGCTTTGCAGCCTCCAGCTCTGGAATGGGACTGCGGGAGGGGCGTTTGGGTGGGATGGGACCTGGCACGCCTGGACGTAGCAGTGGCTGCTCTGCTAGAGCCTGAGAGATGGGAGAGGACAACGAGGTGGAGAGGGAGCCTCGTGAGTCATAGAATAAGGATTTGAACATCTTTCCAGGCTGCGAGAGCGGCACCTGGGTTTGTTTCTTCATCGACTTCTGCCCAGAGTCCCACTGAACAAGTTTTGGAAAGGTTTGGGCTTAAAGGCAGGGCTTCTGTTATATAATGTATCAACCTCAGACTATTGCGCAGCAATAAGGATGGATGCCATTCCAGGTGTTCCTAGCACGCTGTCTGTACCCAAGGACCCAAAGCTATGTCCATGTATTCTGGTACCTGTATCCCTCACCGATTAAAGTCAGCGTAGCTAGCTATTCCCTGAGAATATCTATTCCGTTTAAATCTTCATTTGGCCAAACAATTCCTTGATCTTTTGGAATTTGAAACGGAATTTAACCAGAACAAGTCAAAGCAGAACTTGAACGGATCTGAACAGACAAACTGAAGGGAATGGAATTTATCTTCAGTTGCTTAGTAAAGAGTCCAAAGGAGTTTGACATCAGTGGTTGCAAAATGTTTGGCAAACTTAAGATTAGGGCCATATTGAAGTTTCTTCCATTGCAGAATGGAAAAAGCATGGATTGTGAAGTTAGACCTGGGTTCAAATTCGTGGTAGAGACGTTGGCTGTGAAACCTCTGAAATGATAGCCTTTCTGAATGATACTTAGCCTTTCTGAAATTTAGTGTCCGTATCTGTAAATTGCAATTTCCTTCTGTTTATTTGATGAAGTAACATATGCAAAGCTTTTAGCACATTAAAGCACGAAGACATTATTTTAGCAGTCTTACTAGTTCTCTGGTATGACAGATGGTGAAATCAATTTTAGATGCAGAAAAGTTGAGTGGCTGAAGGTGGACGGATATTAGGAAAAAGTCTCAAAATCTCAAGTCTCTGATGTGACAGTAGCTGTGGTGGAATGGTGTAAAAACCCTTGGGCATTTGTCGTAGTCTTGGCCCTATTGCTAACTACTTCTGTGGTCTTCAGTAAGCCGTTGGCATCTTTGGCCGTGATTTATTTGTAAAATGAAGCAGCTGGACCAGATGGTTTTCTTAAAATTCTTTTTGTGACCCAAATTAGAGCTAAAAGGTAGAGAAGATAATAGTAGGGGCCGGGCGCGGTGGCTCACGCCTGTAATCCCAGCACTTTGGGAGGTCGAGGTGGGTGGATCACGAGGTCAAGTGATCGAGACCATCCTGGTCAACATGGTGAAACCCCGTCTCTACTAAAAATACAAAAAATTAGCTGGGCATGGTGGCGCGCGCCTGTAATCCCAGCTACTCGGGAGGCTGAGGCAGGAGAATTGCCTGAACCCAGGAGGCGGAGGTTGCGGTGAGCCGAGATCCCGCCATTGTACTCCAGCCTGGGTGACAAGAGCGAAACTCCGTCTCAAAAAAAAAAAAAAAAAAAAAAAAGAAGATAATAGTAGGCATTTATTGCATACCTATTATGTACTGTTGCAAACACATTGTATCTATCAACTCAGTCTCACAACAAACCCGTAAGACATGTACGGTTATTATCCACATTTTACAAATGAGGAAACTAAGGCCAAGGTGTTAACCTTGCCTAAGGTTCCAGAGCTTATAAATTGCAGAGCTAGGATTTGAATCCAGGTACTGAGTCCATGTTGTTAATCATTGTGCCAAGCTGCCTCTTGAGGAGAATGGTATTGTGGATATTGTATACTATTAGAGGTACTATAAAAGAAGATGGGGCATGTTTTGTAAGATAATTGCTTTGGTTACAAATGTGTGTATGGCAAAATTATTTAATTAAGTGGATCTTGTCCTAATGCTTGCCACATTTCCTTGTTTGTATTCTCTCAATACTGTCTGTCTCTTGGACTTAGCAAAAAAATAATTCTAGATTCCCTTCTACTAACCAAGGCTAGATACCCAAATTTACTGTGGTTTTTGCGAAACCTTTAAAAGGTCTGACCTAGACATAAATCAGAGCTGAAGAATCTCAGTGAACCATATCTGTTTCTGGGCTAAGGTGGTTTAGGATAGGCAGAGCAGCCTCAGAACCCCAAATTCATTTCAGTGTTCCCACACTTGAGCAGACTTGGTCTGAATTTTCTCGTTTTTCATCAGATTTGCATTTATATGTAGGAGCAGAAGGAGTTGAAAGTGAAATCTAAGAGCATACTTGACATAGGGTTAGACTGATGTTATAGCAACTATAGGTAAAAAAGGATTTTATAGTTGAAAAAGTTGAAAAACTCAGTATTAAGTACCTATTATGATGTACTACTGTGTTAATGTAGGCGTTGTGCAGTTTGAGGATCAATACTATTTTAAAAGAAAATAAAATCCATGGCTAAAATACTTTGACATAAAGAACTCAGCAAATTTTTTGGTCCCATATGTCAAACAAATCAGTTTATTGCCCTAAATCTACGGAAAGACTTTGATATATATTAATACAATAGTAGCATTTTCAGGTGGGTCTCTCTGATCACATCACAATTGCTTCTTGTTCTTTGCTGTGGAGAGACAGCAGGTAGTGTTGTGGTCCACTGTACTAAAGAGTAATGCCCTTGTGCCTAGGGCTGCCAGATAGAGGGGGTGAGTTTTGCATGGTACAGCCCTTGTGGTGCAGTCTTACATAGACTGGCGTGAATTGTACTCACTCTTGTTGTATAACCTATAGCACTGTTCTTGTGGCATTGCTTTTTGTGCTCCTGCCTCCCCCACAGTCTTGAGTACAAGAGTAATTTTTCCTTTAATAAGCCCTCTCCACCCTGTTTTTCTGCTTTTTGTTTTCTTTCACTTTCAGATGAAGTCACACTGTTGCTAAGCCATGAGTAGGTTTTCTATTGTTTGGATTATATGTGGTCAGAATTTCAGAAACTGGCTTCTTTTTTTTTAACCTCTTACATTGAGTTTGGAATACTTGTGCCTTTGCAGATTTTTTGATTTAATTTAAATATTAGTCTCAAACATAAGCAAAAGAGGACTACCCAATTCCTGTATTATATCTAACTTCAAAATCAGCTGTATTGATTTTCTGATTATCTGTTGCTTTGGCTTGTATATCTTATAATTTTACTTAGCTATCATGAAAATTCATTCTAGCTGTAGCCTTAAAATCATTGGATATGAGAAATTTGAAGCACTTTTAGTTTATTATTTAGCAAAGACAGTTGCCAAATTGGAGCTTACTCTTGCTGAGCACCCCCACAATCACTTACTTCGGCTTTTGGCTGTTGCCTCTCTCATCTCTCTCAGACTTCTTTTAGCCAGATCAGTGGTTGAAATGGTATGAAAAGAGAGTGACCGTAGCACCTCGTTACAAGTGTGCTCCTCTGTCAGGGAAATGTCAAATCAAGTTTTTACTAACACTCTTTCTCTTCAATTATATTTAAAGAGACAGGTTGATTCAGTGGAGAAGAATAGTTTTTGGCGTCTGATCTTCAAATACTATAGAAGGTCGAATAACTTTAAAAAGAATTGTTGGAAAAATTTTAGTAATCTGTTTGGCTTTACATAGATGTACTAATATATGCGTCCTCTGAAATGCAGAGAACCTGAGAAATTAAATCTTGTGAAAAGAGATCAGGCATCCAGGTACTGTAGCTTACACCTGTAATCCCAGCACTTTGGGAGGACAAGGCAGGCAGATTATGAGGTCAAGAGATCAAGACCATCCTGGCCAAAATGGTGAACCCTGTCTCTACTAAAAATACAAAAATTAGCTGAGCATGGTGGCATGCACCTATAGTCTCAACTACTCGGGAGGCTGAGACAGGAGAATCACTTTAACCCAGGAGGTAGAGGTTGCAGTGAGCTGAGATCGTACCACTGCACTCCAGCCTGGCAACAGGGCAAGACTCTGTATCAAAAAAAAAAAAAAAAAAAAAAAGGGAGAAAGAAAAAGAGGTCGGGAGAGCAACTTTAAATGTGGTTTAGATAAAGGGAAAAATGCTAGAAGACTTGGAGTAGGTTTATTCAGCATTATTAAGTTAATTCTATGCCATTTGTAGTTAATTCTTTAATAATATTATGCAAGAGATATTCAATATTTTTTCTAGGCTAATGAGTCATATCTTGATGTTTATGTATGTGTACACTGGGCATTTTAATTTGAAGTTCATGTTAGTATCTGAAGTGTAACAAGATTTATGTAGATGTACCCTGGGCATTTTATTTCCAATTTCATACTAGTATCTGCTAATACAAGATTTGTATTAACAGAAGCTGTGAGAGAATGTAATACTCTGATATCTCTTGATTGTGAGTCTAGTTCTAGTATGTAGATATCCTTATTTAATAGGTCTGCTTTCTACTGTTTAAGATACGGAGGCATAACAGTGCCTTGGGTATAGTGGATGTTCAGTAAATACTTGTTGAAAGAATAACACTGACAAGTCCAGATTGCTTCAATGTGGTAGATTAGATTGGTTAACAAATCTGTTTTCATTAATAATCTGGTAGCATTATTTAATATATTTTGAACACAAAGAATGAAATGATTGTTAGCAATAGAGCAAAACATGTTTTGTAGAAATTTTGTTTTCTAATATTTAGAAGTCATTATTGGTATAATAAAATGTTAGTATTTATTTACTTATATACATCCTGATTAGTCTTTTGAGTTAACCCTGATTGGGAGGTGATGAGTGGACATTTTTTTTCATTTATTCCATATTAATGTTTTAGATGTCAAGTATTCTTTTTTCTTTCTTTCTTTCTTTTTTTTTTGTTTTTGACATCAGTACTTTATTTTTAAATTTTTAATGTATTTGTTCAATATCTGTATTATTCTCTTTATTTATTTATTTATATTTTTACTTTAGGTGTATACTATATCCAGCATTTCTCCCCATGTTATCCCTCCCCACCCCCCCACCTTCCCCACCCCCCACTGTCCCTCCCCTGCCCCTGGCAACTGCCCCCAGGGTGTGATACTCCTCTCCCTGAGTCCACATGTTCTCATTGTTCAACACTCACCTATGAGTGAGAACATGTGGTGTTTGGTTTTCTGTTCTTGTGTCAGTTTGCTGAGAATGATGGCTTCCAGATTCATCCAAGTCCCCACAAAGGACACGAACTCATCGTTTTTTATGGCTGCGTAGTATTCCATGGTATATATATACCACATTTTCTTTGTCCAGTCTATCATTGATGGGCATGTGGGTTGGTTCCAGGTCTTTGCTATTGTACACAGGGCTGCAGTGAACATACGTGTGCATGTGTCTTTATAGTAGAACAATTTATAGTTCTTTGGGTATATACCCAGTAATGGGATTGCTGGGTCAAATGGAATTTTCATTTCTAGATCCTTGAGGAATCACCACACTGTCTTCCACAATGGTTGAACTAATTTACACCCCCACCAACTGTGTAGGAGTGTTCCTATTTCTCCACATCCTTTTCAGCATATGTCATCTCCAGATTTTTTAATGATCACCATTCTAACTGGTGTGAGATGATATCTCAATGTAGTTTTGATTTGCATTTCTCTAATGACCAGTGATGATGAGTATTTTTTCATGTTTGTTGGCCTCCTATATGTCTTCTTTTGAAAAGTGTCTGTTTATATCCTTTGCCCACTTTTGAATGGGGTTGTTTTTTTCTTGTATATCTGTTTTAGTTTTTCGTAGATTCTGGATATTAACCCTTTGTCAGATGGGTAGATTGCAAAAATGTTTTCCCATTCTGTTAGTTGCCGGTTTGCTTTAATGGTGGTTTCCTTTGCTATACAGAAGCTCTGAATTTTAATTAGATCCCATTTATCTGTCTTGGCTTTTGTTGCCATTGCTTTTAGTGTTTTAGTCATGAAGTCCTTGCCTATGCCTATGTCCTGGATGGTTTTGCCTACATTTTCTTCTAGGGTTTTTATGGTGTTAGGTTTTACATTTCAATCTTTAATCCATCTGGAGTTAATTTAGTGTAAGGTTTTTGCTTTTGAATTTTATTTGTAAAAATTAAACAGTATATGTAAAGCAATACTTTATGATGAAGAATATTTGAAAAAATTTTATCTTCATCGATACCATCATCCATAATATCAGAACATTTTTTCATTTTCATGTTTATGCATATTATGTATATTTTACATAATTTACATAAGTGAATATACAATTTTATATACATTATTTTATGTTCTATTATCATCATAGTTATTTTCAGTAGCCACTCCATTAGAAATTATAACTATACTGAGGAGGGTAAGAAGGGAGGATTGCTTGAGTCCAGGAGTTTGAATACAGACTGGGCAACACAGCAAGATCCCCATTTCCAAAATAAAAAGTGTTCTTAAAAACAAAATCACAGCTGTAATTTACCCGACTCTGAATGGGCAGTTACATTGTTTCTGATTGACTTGGTTATAAATAAGATTGAGGTGATTTTTATGTATATAACTCTTTCTTTGCATAATTGTCCTTAGCCTAAATTTCCAAGAGGCAAATACTTAGTTAAAAAAGATTTAAATGCTTTTATGAATCTTACCATACTGCTTTCCAAAAAAATGACATATTTAAAAGTTGTGTCCAATGTTTGTGTATTTGTTTTTCCGTAACTCTTTGCTAGTACTGATCATTGTCCCCTTTAAAACATAATTTATTAATTGTACAGTGGAATTTAATTTTATGTGTTTTTTGATTATCAAGAAGCTCAACATTTTCTCTCATTCAAATTATTTATATCCTTTGCTTGTTTACCCATTAGGCATTTACTTTATTCTTAGAAACAGTAAAACATATGAAAAGTTCTACTATGTCATATTTAACAAAATCATCTTCCTTTGAACAACAGGCTTATATTTTATTGTGGTATGTATCTATATTAATACATTTTTCTTATTGTAGACCATTCAGCAAGGATTTTTTATCGAAGGCCCAAAAGTTTGTTACCCAAGATGATGAATGCTGACATGGATGGTATGTTCTTCATTTTCTTTTTTGTATGTTCCTGGTTTTGTGGATGCTTTTGCTTTATTAAGCAATGGAAAGGGCAGAGAAACAATATTTAGAAGGTTTTGATCTTGGTTAATTTACTTATTTATATATCATCTAGTTTTAGAAAGGACCAACCAAACCAGCTTCCATTCCTTAACTGTGAGAGGTTGGCTGGCAGGTTATTTTTATCTTTTTTACCTTCATGTCCTTATCTGCAGTTTGGGGATACAACATTTTATTCCACAGGGCTGTGTATAAGTCAAGTAAGAATGAATATAAAACATTTTGCAGATTTTTAAGTGCTACACTACACAAATAATACCTAATGTCAATTAATAGTAAATTTGAACCTTTATATTACAGCAGTTGATGCTGAAAATCAGGTGGAACTGGAGGAAAAAACAAGACTTATTAATCAAGTGTTGGAACTCCAACACACACTTGAAGGTTAGCTTGCATTTTATAGTTTATTTGAATGACATCCAATTAATTGAAATTGTAAGCATTTATATTACTAAATTTTGATGGTTAGGATGTATAATTTTTAAAAGAATGAACTTCAAAGTTAATTTCAGTATATATATATTTTTGTTTCTCTTCCTGGTTTGGTAGTTTAAATAGCAGATACACTTCACTCAAGTCAGATAGTGTTCTTATGCTTTCCTCTTTAAAGCCTAACATAAATTAGGCTTTAAATGTGTTATTAAGTCCACTTTATTATAGCTTATTTTAAGGTACAAACAGTGTATTAGCCTTGGAGATTTAGAAGGAATTCATCTGAATTTTTTCATTTTCTAAGTCTTGCATAAAATGTATACTAACAGTGAAACATCTTTTGAGTTTTAATGAAATTGAGAGGTTGTGTTTTTGGTGCCACGGTGAGCAGATAATGTCACTCAGAACCTGCCACTGACTTGCCATTTTATAGCATTAATAAAAGTCACCTATAACTTCCCTATTAGCTTTCTTTTTTCTTTTTTTTTTTTTGAGTTGGAGTTTCACTCCTGTTGCCTAAGTTAGAGTGCAGTGCATGATCTCAGCTCCCCACAACCTCCGTCTCCCAGGTTCAAGTGATTCTCCTGTCTCAGCCTCCCTAGTAGCTCAGATTACAGGTGCCTGCCACCACGCCTGGCTAATTTTTGTATTTTTAGTAGAGCCGTGGTTTCATTACGTTTGCCAGGCTGGTCTTGAACTCCTGACTTCAGGTGATCTGCCTGCTTTGGCCTCCCTAAGTGCTGGGATTACAGGCGTGAGCCACCCTGCCCAGCTGGAATTAACTTCTTATGTGATCATTAGGAACTGTATATGTTGAATTTCTTGATAATGTTACAATACAAAATGATCAGTTGCTTGGAAACTGACTGCCTGTATCCAGTATATGAATTCAATTGTGTTAACCTAAAGTATATCTTAAACATTTCTAGTAAAGATGTTATGATTTTATGTTGACTTGAACCAGAATTCACATTTTAAAAACAAAGTCTTTTTAAAAAAATTAAAGTTAACTACTTCACTGTTAATGCTGTTTACAAAGAATAACATTTAGTCTAATGTGAAATACCTTTTTAGGAATTTGTCTACTAATTTGCACTCAGTTTACTTTGTTTACCTTGCTGTCTCTAAAAAATGAATTCTTAAAATTTAAGGATTGTGTTAGCTCTTTTAGGAATGAATCTTAAGAATTTTGAAATACGGAATCATTGTTACTGTTTTATTGATAACGGACATTTTTATTTTTTATATAGATCTGTCTGCAAGAGTAGATGCAGTTAAGGAAGAAAATCTGAAGCTAAAATCAGAAAACCAAGTTCTTGGACAATATATAGAAAACCTCATGTCAGCTTCTAGTGTTTTTCAAACAACTGACACAAAAAGCAAAAGAAAGTAAGGGATTGACACCCCTCTGTTTTATGGAATTGCTGCTGATTATTTTTTCTTTAAAACTTGGATAGATTCCAAAAGTTACAGTACCTTTGTTTGTGGCTTCATTGAATATTTATGAAATAATGTCAGATGTAGACAAAAGTAACACAATAACAGGAGACTTCCATAAGTTTGTGTATTATGTTAGTCTATGAAAACGTGCAAATGTATTGTAGAGACTTTATAATTAGAATTGCATATATTTATGAAACTTAAAAGATGAATGTTTTATCGAATTTGTAGGTTTAACACTGTCTTTTATTATAGGATTAGTAAGATATACAAGAAAATAACCACCATGTTGTGAAAAAGTGACCAAAATCATGTACTGAATGCACAGCTTTATGTACCCTGTCCACCATCTTGTGCCTCTTCTCCATTTGCCTCTTCCTTCCTATTTCCCTTCCCTGAAGGAAAAAACTGGTTTCACATTTGTAAAAGTAATTTTAATAGTTAATCATCTCTGAGAGTAACCTGTATTTTAATTGTTGAAACTTAACCAAAATGAGATCCTGTCACAGCTAGGGCTTGTCATTTGTGATATTTAGTATTAAGATAAGAATGCAGATTTCTCTTTAATAAATTGGAAATAGATGGAGGCTAAAAATGAAGGTTTTTCTTTGAAACTGAATGAACTTGGGAGTATTTGTTGTTAATAACTTCTTTTTGCACAAAGTAACTCATATTATCTGAAAATACATAATTTCTGGTTATGTGTGTGCTTAAAATAGAAAATTTAGAGGAAAAATAGAAATGGGGTGGAGAAGTACTTGGTAAACAGTAGTAACCAACTTCAAATATTTTCACTCCAGATTTGTGTTTTCTCTGGCACAGACTAGATCTTTTGGGAAATATGTATGAAAGTAGATTAAGTTTGACTCTCCTTATGTAAGCCACATCTGGATGAGAACATTTACACTTTGGTTTCTAAGTTTATTCGTACGCAGCAGATCAACTTTTGCAAAATTCCTTAACAGTGTATTAGTATTAGAATAGTGAATAAAATGGGAGAGTTTTACATGTATTCTGATTATCTTGCTCAGTATTTTATCTCACTTGTTCTAGAATTTTCTGTAAACTCTGCTACTTGAAGACTTTTAGTCATCCTTTAACAATTTTTCAAAATTTAGTTTGTAGGTTCCATTTGGTAAGGAAATCAATACTGGAAGTAATGCTAAAATCTTAAAATAGGAAAAGAGATCCACTAATACAGCTTATGGTTATTAGATGTGGGCTACTTTTAATCATGAATAATCTTATGTATTGGTGTAAAAGCTGATGAATGACTTTAGCTGTATGAATATATAATAGTAAAACTGCAAACATTTTGCATCCCTTTTGTGACCTAATTTACAGACATTTAATTGTGTTGCAGTTCTGCTTTGCTGTTTAATAAAAAGCTGTTTCAGAGTTTGTGTGTGTTTTGATATAGTTGCGTAAGTAAATGGGGTATTTAGGTATAGTGGTGTATCCAGGGTTGTTCAGTGCCACAGAATAGTGTATCTTATTTAAGTACCCAGTTACTGATGATTTAGGGGAATAATATTTTTATTAATACAGCTGTAACTGGTTATCAGTATATGTATCACAGGATATTTTACATTAGCTTAAAAAAACAAAAGCAAAGCACTCAAAGGATCCAAGATCTCCAGGGAGAAGGAAGTTGTATATTTTAGAGTAGGCTAAGCTACTTTAGCAAGAGACCTAGTGATAAAGAATATAAATACAGAAGTTTCTCTCCTAACCAGCGGTTCCAAGGTCAGCATTGCATGCTAGCAGCTTTTGTTACACAGTTATTAAGGGACTTTGGTAGAGGATGGTGCTGCCATTTTAAATCATGCCTTTCAAGTCACTCTAGTTATTACTGTTCTAATTTGCAGAAAAAGAATGTGGAAGTGCACATATGCAAGGTTTTATGGGCTGCACCTGGAAATAGCTCATATGTCTTCTCATATTCCAGTGATGTGGAGACTTAGTTACATCTAGATATAAGAGGAGCTGAGAAAAGTAGTCCCTAGTTGGGAAGCCGTATTCCAGCTATAAATACAAGGCCTTGCTGGCCACTAGCAGCCTCAGCCAAGCTATTCCTGTGCTACTATCTTCCCTTACATAGAACATAATCCCTCTTCATCCAGTTGCTGATTCAGCTCACAATCTAGGATCTTTATTAAAGGTCCATCCGTTTAGATGTAGCTTCTAATATTCTGACAACCTCTAAACTGATAGGCAGATTATTTGCTCTCACCCTTTCCACTGTCCATTTGTAATGTAGTGGGGACAGGATGGACAAATAAAAAGTCTCAATTTGGAAAATGGAATAAAGGGAAACATGCAAAAATTGTGGAATGCTCCCTGAAGATGTATGAAGATTTTGTCCCTAGTGGAGAAGTTCCTTGATTAGACTATGATTCTTATCTCTGCAGGGGACTCCCTTGTATTCATTGAACTCTATGGTTTCCCCTCTGGAAAGTTATTCCTCATCCATTTTCTCCCATGGCTACCTAGGAAGTAGAGGTTGGGTGTTCACTCCATGAGAATTGTGAAGACAGTCCACTTCCTGCTGGTGTGAACTTGGTGCCTGTCATTTTAAGGCCAAGCTCATTTTCTTTGGAAAATAATTCTTTCAAAAACTTAAGCCTTTTTATCAATATGCTTCTGATTCCATATACCAAAGAATCACAGCCAAGCTGTTGACCAAATTCTCAAAGTATGCATTATTTTTGCCTCTCTTTAATGGAGTCTATCTTGAGATCAACTGAAAATAAGATTGCACTGGGAATGTTACATGCATATTATCACTGCAAAGCTGGGTTCCTTTGCTTGACTTAACAATTGGTAGAAGAGTCTTCATGGGCTTCCCCCTAATCTCACCTCAAAATAATTTTGAAACTTTGCTGTTATTCAGACTTTAGAAACAATTGGCTTAATTTTGTGGGGTTCCTTGTATCTGAACTTTTGTCTATTCCCTTCCACCTCTGCTTCAAAATGTCAATTTTTTTGATAGCTTGCTAAAAGCATCAAGGAATAGCCAGTAAATTTAACATTCTGGCTTTTTCCAACTAGAGCTATCAGCTTAGTAGGTGCCAAAATATATCCCCACCTGGTTGTCATGATAATGGTAAGCTAATGCTATATACTTACTTAGTTTTTGTTATGCAATACTTCAGGGTAATTCCTACATTAGAAATGTAGGTGGTAAACTGTGTGCACAGGGACTGTGCCCAGCTTCTGGAAGACTCTCCTTGACCAAATTTTAGAGAGGCTCCTCTGAGCCTTCTTTTTGACTAGTCCAGTTTTAGTAAAAATCCTGCTAAATCAGTTTAGAGAGAATCCCACCCTCAATAACTGATGATCACCAACCTGGCCTGTCTGGCAAAAATCACCTTACCCTTGATGTCTCCACTTAGTAGTTTTCCATCCACTGACCCATCACTGCTCATTGACTATTAAACCTCAGCTGTCTTTGCTGTGTTAGTTGGGCCCGATTTATTTCCCTTATTGGGTGATGGTCTTAACACATATAGTCCTGAATAAAGTATTTACTGCTCAGAATGTTTCTTTAATACTTCCTAGTTTACATGCTGTTAGAATGATGTTTGGCAGGGAAAAAAATCAGCATACTCCTTGTCAGGGACTGAATGTGTCCTCCCAAAATTCTTAGGTTGAAATCCTAACCCCAACGTGATGCTTTTAGGAGGTGGGCCTTTGGGAGATAATTAGATAATGAGGGGGAAGCCCTCCTGAATGGGATTAGTGCCCTTATGAAAAGAGACCCTGGAGAGCTCTCTTTGTGCCACATAGAAGACAGCAGTCTGCATCCTGGAAGAGGGCCCTCAACACTGATCTCAGACTTCCAGCCTCCAAAACTGTGAGAGATAAATTTGTTGTTTATAAGCCACCCAGTCTTATAATTTGTTATAGCATCCCAAAAACGGACACCCATTTTCCCCAGTATTCCCTAATAGGAATTTCCCCAATATTGACACTGCCGTTCTATCCAGAATGTGTCCTCTTTATAGTCCCTTTGGACTCACAGCAGGTTACTACAAATCACAGTTCCTCATCTGGAACTTGTAGGGCCAGATGTCTTAGAATTTGGAGTTTTTCAGATTTTTTTAAAATATTAGGACTCAAGACACCAATATGGGGATGGGGCAACACCTATAATCAAGTATATTAACATTTCTGCAGAATGCGTATTAAAGTAGGATAAAGAGACTATATAAAACCTTGTAGGAGAAGTCAGACTCAGCTACCAAGTGAGTTTTGTTGCCAAAATGCTGGGAAAAAAACTTTTACTTTTCAGAGATTTTTGGTTTTTGGAAATCTAACAACAAAACCTTTTGTAGAAAAGTAACCAAAGTCATGTATGCATTTACTTCCAACCAGTTAATGTCGCATCTATGTACCTGTCACTTTTCCCTGTGATCTAGTCCCTTTTATAAAGAAAAATGATAGTTGAATTATAGAATCTAAAATTAGTTTCATGGTCCAAAGAAAAGCAAAATTGATTTAACTTTAGAATATAAAGCCGTTCTTTACTTTGCCCCATAAAAATTTTGTTTTTCCCTGAACACTTTGTGGTAGTTGTCATCATATACGTCTCAGCGTGTATGTAACCAAAATTATTACCAGTGAACACCAGAGTTTAGTAGTTAAGACCACTTGTAAATCATGAAAGAACAGATAATATGAATATATGAAAGGTTAAGACTTGGAAGACAGAATGACTTAATTTCCTATTACTCTTATCAGAAAACTAGCTGCAGTTTATTTCACTGAAATCAGATATTAATGATATTTAAAAGACAAATTTACAAGGCTAGGTGTGGTGACTCATGCGTGTATGCCCAGCTCTTTGGGACGCCAAAGTAGGATTCCTTGAGCCTAGGATCTCGAGACCAGCCTGAACAACATAATGAAACCATATCTCTACAAAAAAAAAATTGAAAAATTAGCTGGGCATGGTGGCTGAAGTGGGAGAATTCTTTGATCCCAGGAGTTCAAAGCTGCAGTGAGTTATGATGGTGCCACAGCACTCTAGCCGGAGCGACAGAGTGAGACTCTGTCTCCTCAAAAGAACAAAAACAAAAAAAGGAACATTTACTACAAGGACTTTATGTTGGCCATTGGCCTTTGGACCTATGAAGGTGTGGGTTGAGATACAACAGAAGCTAAAGTTATACGTTCATTGTAATCAATTTCATAATGTATTTATCTTGTTTTAAAATATATACATTATAGATGGCTTATCAAGTGTTATTAAAATTTGGGAATACCCCCAAATTTTACCAAAAGAGTATTCATTTAACAAACACAAAATATGGGATAACTATGTTAGGTGGTAAAAGCTCATTTTTCCAGTTATCCTGTTGCTCGTCTTCTCTAAAACTACCCTACTCTTCCATACAGCCTCTCTCCCATCATCTTGCCTCATATCTGATCTTTCAGATTAGGGATAATATTATTTCCTAAATTCAGCTGTCATACTATGGTAATACATGGGAGTTATATACTTTTGGGAAGAAGAAATGATTGAAATTTATGCAGAAATTATTTTATGTTTTAATAAATCACATATAAAGGATTTAGTTATCTTACTTTAGCCATCTTATGTTTAATCTTTAAATCCTGCTAAAGTTAAAACATATAGCCACAATTGAAAAGAGAACAAAAAAACTGTTCACAGATTCCTAGAGTGTAATGTATTTATGTTTTAACCATTCAGAATGGTTTTTACTGAGTACAAAACCATTTTGGACTAGAATTCTAAAATTTTAAGATACGTTAAATTCATTTCTAGCGGTTCATTTCAACACAGAAGCAGTTCCATCACATTTCTCCTTCAAATGTGGACTGATACTGCAAAAAACTAATTCTAGAAACATGATGTTTTGCTGGAGAAATGATTAATGGAAACAAGACTATCAGGAAAAAATATTCAAGAAGGGAGATATTACAGTGATCAGGTTAAAAAGCCTCTAAAAAGGCAAACTAAAATAAAAGCAAAATATACTTATTTCTCTCCTTTATGGATAAAATGTAGGCCATTTTAAACAATAAAGTCAGATTATGGAGTAAAAGGAAAAAGCCATTTGGTTATTAAGAAAGATTATGTCTGCCGCATGGATCTAGTACAGGTTATACATTAGAATTTTAGTTTTGGTTAAACTTATCAGCTATGGTACATCCACAAAGGGGTATGTGCACAGGAATTAGCAGTTACAGGAATGAGCAGTTGCTCAGATTTTACCACTGCAAGCTCATGGAGTTTTACCAAACAAATGAATCTGCCACCAAGAAAATTAAAAAAAAAAAAAAAAAAACTTTAAATAATCTTTAGAAAAAATGTTTACATACAAGACACTTTCCAGGCAAGAAAGTTTTCATTAAATTAAAAAAGGTTCTCA